CAAAAATTTTGATATGGGGGGGCTAACCCGGCTGAGGTATCACTTTCACTTCCTGGATTCCCAATGTGCTTTGCATCTCTGTCCCTGCTGCTTGATGTGATGGAATTATGATTTCTCAAGCCCATAATGCATTGCTTACAGCAATCAATAATGATGTTGCATTGTTCACATGTTGAGCTGTATTTCAGAAGGCAGGCTTTGTGAAAGTTATGATGCAAGGGAGAGCATATTCACAGGGCTGACTGAAATTGTGTCACTTTATTGAGGAAGTACATCCTATGGGCATCTTCAATAAGTACATTTACAAACTTCTAGACTGATATGATTATTAGAAGTGGAATAGAACTTGTGAAAATTAAATATAGATATACATATTTATTTTTAGTGTTTGACCATAGATACCCTTTAACAGCCATGCACATGTGCAGGAGTTATGTCATCCTAGGCTGGCCAATCAAGATGGCTGAAGATGCTAAATTGAGAAGAAGACCAGGAGATGTGCAGATGTTGCATAGCTGGAAAGGAGGTGAGTATAGTGGATTTTATTTGCTCTTGATCACTTGATCAATGACTGAGGATGGCTGTGTATGTCTGTACAAATAAAAACACATGCACTGATGCCAAACCCAGCTTTTTTGTTGGTGAAAGATAAGCAACACAACTCGCCCTTAAAGGCAAAGTGATCATAACTAGAAAAAAAGCCTGACTAAAAACACACATTCTAAGGAAATGAGAGCTACCTCTGCAATGTCTCATAAAAATAAATATAACCTACAACTCATCTCAATTATATACGTATCATATTATGTATTTATATATTTAAGTTATTATAATTACTTGTTGGCATGAGTGTGATTGATTAGTCTGAAACTAACTGTAATGAATGTAGGTGCTCATTGGAAGTTCATTGTAAATTAGCAGCTGACACTGAATTATTGAATGTCAATACAAAATGAAACCAGACAACTAGATGCTTCAGGTCATGGAGGCTAAATCGCTGAGTGACTATTTAAAATTTGCTGAATGTTTAAAATCAAATGGTTGTATTCTTGTGTTCTGTCCCCACTGTATGTTGGACATGGAGCTAAACCCTGCTATTCTGCGATAAGCCAAACTGAGTGAAGTCTTGATGCAGGGTGGGATGAAACTGGTAAAAGAACATAAAAACCACACAATCAATTTATAAAAATGTATTTGTCAGCTCACAAATACAGAAATAAACAAGTCCATTCATACCAGCGATGTTCCCTGAGAGAGAGATTTGGGTTCTTTCCTCTGGGCACATGCTGTGGATGTAGGGTTGCCACCTTTTCTTCAAACGAAACCAGAACACTCTAGTAGCCCCTATCTTAATTTTGGTTGCCCCTGCCTAACATCTTGTGTCCGGGTTTCTGCTGCCATGAAACCCAGACACAGCATTCAAACCCGAACTGTCCGGGTGAATCCTGGACAGGTGGCAACCCTATGTGGATGGCAGTGGATTCCTTTTTCTTATTTCTAAAATGGAACCTGAGCTCCCATGATGCACTTGTCTCCTTCTCCTTGGGCAGAGAGATGTTGAGAAGTTTTTGTTTTATTAAAGGAAAACAGTCTAAGCTTCTGTTAATAGAAATGTTTTCTCTTCAGCTCCATCTTGTGGCCAATTTTGATATCACAGGTAGGTTAAGACATTCTTCCTGCCAGATGCAGAACATCTGGTATTGAATTTTTTTTCATTATTATATCAAAGTCACTGAAAGCCCAATTCCAGACAGTTTGGGATAGCGTAATGAACCACTGTCAGCTTTTAATTTCTGAGATTAGAAAACTGAAAATGGTATTTATGGTAAACTTAACTTATATCTCAGACAAAATGAGGGGAATCTATCAAAACTGGAGCAGAAAGAATATGGAGCAGTTGTCCGCATCAACCAATTAGCTTCTAGTTTTCACTTTTTAAAAGCTTAGCTAAAGAGAGAAGCTGATTGGTTACTATGGTCCACTTCTCCAGATTCTGTCTGCTCCACTTTTGATAAATTCCCCTCATTGCGTATCATTTTAATAAAACAAATATTTTATTGATTACAAATAAGGAAAAACTATACCAGCTTGGGCCAATTTTATTTATTCTACACTGATCTCTTTTCTGTTATCACCCACCTATCCTCAACTGATCATTGCAAGGAATGCTGCCTCATTAATTGCAAATAACAGGATGTGTGTGGCACCTTGGTGGCTATGCTTGAGTCTGGTGATATATAGCTCTGTCGGTACTGCACTGTAGGATGGGGGGGGGGAGGGGGGCAATTCTTCACATACCTAGAATTTCATGTTTTCCAGTGGGTTACCATAGCACTGTGTATGGTAAGCTGTCAGGCTAAGGTGGTGCCTTTTATGCCAGTGTTTTCCCTGTCCCAAGGTAGCCCCAACAGGTCCTGTTTTCAAATGTTCTTTCATCCTTCATGGGTGATTTAATCAGCATTACTGGCTCAATAAATGCAACAGATATTTAGGGTTAGGTAAAACCTAAGTAAAATAAAACGTGACGTGTTCGGAGTACTTGGGGGCTGGAGTCAGAGAAAGAATAAGACAGTATTGGACCCTAGGCAAGGTTTCACCATTATCACACTTCCCAACCATTTTGATTAACATTGATAAGGATTTCAATGGGCACCGACAAGCCACCCCAACTTCATTGTCTGTACTGGCATGGCCAGCCCCATCAGACACCAACTGCCTACAAGTATATCTGTCCTTGTGAAATGGCAGCCTACACCAGCGTTTCTTCTTTCCTATAAAAGTATGCAAAATCTCAAGGCACACCAGTTAAAAATGTACAAAAAGTAAATGTAAAAAAGGATGTGTGGCCCCTCCAAAATCCATACCTTTAACCTAGATAGGGGACTGGTATGGATTTTTAGGGGGGGACCCAATGCTAAAACATAAAACGGGTTCACTTTTTACATCATAGTCCCCCTTTCATATCACAAGTCAACCTTAACAACAGGAACACTCCTTCATATCAGAAGCCCCCGTTCACAACACAAATCAGGAGCCCCTTTACATCAGAAGTCCCTCTTCACTTCAGGAGCCCCCCTTTACATCAGAAGCTCCTCTTCACATCAGGAGACCCCCCCCCCGCT